TCTCTCTCTCTCTCTCTCTCTCTCTCTCTCTCTCTCTCTCTCTCTCTCTCCCCCGCTCTCGATCCGCTCCATCAATCTCTCTCTCCCTCGCTGCGTCCTTTTCATCCTCTGCCTCGCTAGAGCGGCGCGTGCGCGTCCACTGGCCGCCAAGTCTTCTGCTCTGACGTCTTACAAGTGTACACGTTACATGCAAGTCTTACGCGCTATCATGAAAGTTGTCACTTTCCGGTTTTCTACGTGCGTAAAACGTGCCGTTTTGCCCAATCTAAACCCGCGATTTTATCAATCGCTAAAAACTCGTCACTCGTGAAACCAGCAAAACTTTCCATATGGAAAATGCGTTTGGAAAAGAAATAAATAAAGCGGAAGTGACCGTTGGCGCACGAGTGAAATTGGAAAACGCCGAATAGATTTCTCATTCGTAGCTTTATATATTACCTATAATATATATTACACTTTTCGATATGTTATAATGTAGGATACACGTAAGAACATTGTACCCAGCATCAAAAGAATGAAATTGTCTTTCATGTATATAATACAATATATTCTTACAAACGTTGGTGTATTCATCATAAATCGTAAAAGATCGCGACGGCGACGTACAATAGCGATATATAGAAAGATATTGGTGGACGAGCCGGCGCGGGCGCGTGCGACAAGTGCGTCCGCGCTCTTTAGGATCGCGTTTAGCATTTGTACTCGCGAAACATTACTTTCTACTTTCACATCTCACAATCAGCCTAATATACGATCTTTACATGCGCTCGGATATTTTTCTCCTCTTTTGGGTCGGCGTTGGAAGGTCCACGTCGAGAGTCTACAAAAATCCTGAGACTATGAAAGCGGCTATCGAAAACGGGGCTTCGATTATCCCAACGAAAAAGAGAAAGGATACATGGAGAAAGCTCCCGGGTGCATTCACCGTTTGTTCCATCTTTGATTTAGCCGAGTTTAGGCGATCATGCCGAGTGTCAAGTCTCAAGTTTCGCGTGATCGCTTTCAGATCATTATTCAGTTCGCGATTCGCAAAGCCTCGTGATTCGTTAGTCGCGAGTTAAAAGATTCAGATATAGGGCTAATTTGTTTTGCAAGCTATCCGCTTTTCCTATTTATCTACAAATGTATATGTACCGCGGTCTGTTGTGCCAAATAATTGATGTCTTTGACAATTGGCAAAGTCATCAATTATTTCCATCTCGACAAGTTTATGACAAGTAGCAAGGTCCGATCTGTCTGTAAGTTTGATTTTTAGTGCAGATGACGGAAGAAGCAATTGGAAAAGAAATGACGATGCATTCCAAGATTCTGCATAATCTATACTCGCGAGAGATTTTGCGTTTTAAATATCTTACGGTAAAAATTGTATTATAAAATTCTGGAACAATTAAGAAAGAAAATTTGTTAAAGTAAGCGAGACTCGTTATAGAACGATATTTTTTGAAACGGAAAACAGTCTCTTGCTTTCCAGAAGCTTGTGTCGGTACTCGTGAAACGGTAGTCGAGCTTTCGACTATACCGATATTAGGATATTTACCGCGGCATTACAATCGCCGCTAATAGCTAATTTACATGCAACGCCGCGCGCGAATCCTGATGAAACATATATAAATTTCCTACGGATTGATGTTAAAATGTTAATTTTATTCGTTAAAAATGGAAAGAAATGTCCCGTCGCACGCTGTAGATAGTTGTAGGCCGATTTCCAAAATTTAAAGTGAGCACAATTCGTTTGATTGACGACGATCGACCAAATGGGATGGACTGGTTTGGGGCGATGAGAAAAGTAAGCTATTCAAGATATTATATATGTATATAAAGCAGTTTCAAAACAAACTAAAAACACTTTCTATCATTGGTAAAAAATAATTAGTGGTATAAGTTTGATTTTTTACGCGCTACTGAAAACGCACGATACTGCGAACGTATCGCAATCGGGCGTGTTAGCTGTAATAATATATATATATAACGCGATATATTTTCATAAAGACTCGAGAAAACGTAGCCGCGAATTAGCGAATTAGTAAATTAGCGGTGCAGCTGACTCTGGGTCGTCGACGTGCAAACGTATACAGAGGTAACTGTTGCACCTTTCTACTTGTAGGCTAGTGCAGCGGATGCGAGTGGGCGGACCGGGATCCAGGTAGGCAGAGCCCACGTTGAAACGAGCATCGGTAATTAAACGAGCACCTTGCTCGACAGACTCGTCATTAAAAACAACGACGACGACGACGACGACGACGATTCGCGTCACGCTCCGCTTATTACTTCTGTTCCAAGCGCTGTTCCATGCACTTGCGTCGGATGGTCGTCGGACGCACAGTTCGATCACTGCAGTATCTCACTGCGAGATTTCAATATTTCAATCGCCGACTATTTAAAATAAAATTAATACATAAATTGATTAACCGATCAAAGCGATTTTTTTTGTAAGCTTTGATTACATTTGTAGAATGAAAGAGATGGATTTCAAACTTTGTTCAGATACGGAGCTAGCTCGAAGCAGCTAGAGTCCACTAATTTTTAGATGTTAATTTAAAGTTTGGAACAAAGCGATAAAAGCTTTCGTAGCCCGATCTCGTCGCAACGAGATACAGGCTGACTGTATGTATCGGTATGTATTGGTAAAGGCTTAGGGGCACAGGAGACTTCGTGCCTCGGCAAGTGTGTTGCAAGACGGGCCTTATACGGATCTTCGGACGCGACGCGACACGACGCGACGCAAGGTTCAGTCTCGAGCAAAAAGAACCGTTGCGTCGCGCTGCGGCACTATACTATAAACACGCGGTCGGTGGATCTCGTGGATCTCACCGGCGCGGCGCGCGGCGGCACCATTCGCTGAATACCAACGTCACATTCGACGCTTTAACGAAAAAATGTAACTAAGTATTTACTCGTTTTAAGAACAATTTTTTATACTTTGTTTTATTACAAAATTTATACTTGTGGAGAGAGAGAGAGAGAGAGAGAGAGAGAGAGAAAATGTAGATAGGTATAGAAAAGCGATAGGTATAGTGTAAAAATTGTTTAGAGATTTCATTTCATTACCTTTCCTTTCCTGAAACCCTGAAGATTAGAAATCCATTTTGCATAATGTTGCATTTTAACAATCAATTTTCAATGCTTCTAACAATAAAATCTCTCTGTGTTGATATATTCGTGACAATAGCAAATGCGCGTGATAGCTATTGAACGGCATTTTACAAGACCGAAAATTATTCGCGTTAGTTGAAGCTCGACCGGCGTATTAAGTACAATTGGATGCGTGGGCAACGTTAAACGTTAAATTGTTCCGCTAATCGTCACGATAGGAGACGATGCGACAAGATTACTCGCCCACGAGCGAGTTTCCTGCAGGACTGACGAAAACATGCGTTACACGCGGCTTGGATATAATTGCGGGATAAATAATAATCATGGTAATTAAGCGGGCAAGGAATGACATAAATAATAAGTTTAAATACTGCTCCTCCCCCCCCTCCGTCCGATAATCATTTGCAATTACTGTGCAGCGTTTTCTATTCTTTGCGGACGAGTCTGTGTGTGTGTGTGTGTGTGTGTGTGTGTCGAGTATTGGTAATGTGAAATCACAACAAATCTCTCGATGATAACAATCAACTATTGTCGCATGTCACTGACAATATATTACGGATATCCGAGAAAAGTCGGATATATAAAAATATATCAGTCGATGGAAAGAAGAAAAAGAAACGTCTCGAGAGTTTATAAATCGCAGCCACGAAATGAACAGGTGCGTTAAATCGGCCGCGCATTTATATAACTTACTAATAAACGTCTTAGCTGCAACCACGAGATTTCTCTTGCACTGATCGTGAGAGCGTTCGCCATATTTTTATCGTGACGCGACGTTAATAAATATGAAAGTGGAATGTCGCGGATAATCACGGAATAGCCATTACTCAAAAAGTCAATTTTTAATCGTCTCTTCGTATCACTCATGGCAACGTGTTTCAGTCATGTTTCAGTCATTTCAGTGTTTCATAATATTGGAAAATTGCGATGTTGATTAACACAAACTATCTGTGCGTGTTCTCTTAAGTCTTTGGTAACTTTTTGATTTTGATCTTAATCTCTTATATTTTTCTCATGTGTTTATATTCCTGCTCTTGACCGTAACACTTTTAATGTCAACAGATATTTGCGCGATAGATTCATACTAACAATTATAAATGTATTCAAGTATAATACATTTCATCGTTGTACACTTTAACTCGTCATTTGCGAATATCTTGCTAAAAAGGAACCTGTTTAAAGTTTATATCACGGCCTCTTTACACAACTTGTATCACAATCTTCGCACGTCTTCAAACAAGTCTACTGTTCGGTCATCAGTAAAAATTTTGATTCTTGCAATTGCACGAATTATCACGTCAACAGTTTAAATCACCAGCTTTCGCGTCGACAAACACTCCATGAATTTCACATTGCTGCGCAATAATGTGGTTTCCGTGAAAATTATAGACTATATACCAGTCGATAAGATTGGTCGCGCGCGTTATTTCTATAACGTTTTTATTTTCACGTTATCCATTATGTATACCGTAGTTTATTATAACATAAATTATTATTACCTAAATGATAGATCCGTCAGACTTTTAAGATAAATGAATACGCTAGCCTAGTTAATTGGATCAGAAATGTAAAAAAATTAATCGACAGGATATGTACAGCATTCAGTGACAGAGTCTCAAAATAACTCGAATAAGTAGTACATAATACGTACGCAGCACTTAAATAAACAAAAATTTCTTTTTAAAAACAAATGTTTTGGGCTGATATACCGATTACGAGTCTCTCGGTTCTCAAGTACACCAGAGAACGCGTATCGAATTCTTCGCATTCCCAACTCGTGGTCAGAGTGGTCTACGAACAAAATAATTTCTCCCTTTTTAAAAGAGGGTTAATCACAGAAGAGGGACGAAAAAATTTCTCTGAATCCCGTCATTCGGCAGGTAGAGCCCGTAGGAGCCCGAGGAGCCCATAGACTCTCGAGAACCCTCTCGCTCGCTGAAAGGTCTCCGACGCGGACGTCCCAGTCCCCCCACGCGGGCCCTACAGTCCGAGCGTTCATCGAATTGGTTCTACGAGCTTATAAGGGTCAGCGAACGTCATGGAAGTCGAGCCGAGAGAGATTCGTTGGATCTTATACATACAAGGTACATAAATGTATATTCTCGAAGGAGAAACTGTACGTAAACCTCTATAAACTTTCGCGAATGGAAGCTTGGCGGTCCAGGATTAACGCACACATCGGCTCTTTAAAATTATTTAATTATTCGAATCGCCAAGTTAAAGATAAATACGCGGAGTTAGTTGACAAAAGTAAGACTTAGTATAATAATAAATTCCTACTTATGTGTAGAGTTGTAGTTTTCCGTGTCAGGTATCAGTGCCCCGCGCTCGCTAGCGCGACGTACGTGGGACAGGATCTCTAGGATCTTCTCCGTGTACTTACCGCGGAAAAGACAGAGCGATAACACGGGATATCTCGTCCGCCCACGTAGCATCCACACGCGAATCGTACGCCCCGCGCCCATACGTTTACAAAGGTAAGCGTGATTTTACGCGTGGCGTGGCGCGTATAGGACGAGCGAGTACTTAGTATAGAAGGATGCATGCGCGAGGCGCACACCGCACACCGGTTTTCCACTGAATTGTTACATTCGCACCGGTCAACCGCGACCGCGTATTAAGTCTGTATAACGTTTAACATTGTACAATGTAAAAGCACGCGACGACCTGTCTTCTCTGCCCTGGACTCTCCGCTCGCGCTCGTTCCGAGTTACGACGTAGGTGTAATGCGTCTCGCGACTCGCACCTCGCACCCAAAACGTCATCACGTCATCACGTGTCTGATATTGATAAATCTGTACTTACTTCTTCCTTTAAAATCTTGCAAACCTATGCGTGATGATTCTTCTGTGACACATGCAGTGAAGCGAGAAGCGAGAAGCGAGAAGCGATAATCGTTAATTTTCACGCACGTTTACAACTAGATTAGGCCGTTACGCGCCAAAGTTTTACGTTTACATATTTACATATTGTTATTTAATTTCGTACGCGTATCGTAGATATTTTGAAAGTAACAGTGCGTTGCAACGCACTGTTTTGCCTAGAAATAAAAGCATGAAAATTACTTTAACTTACCAAAGTGGCACGTTCACGACGTTCACGTTATTCCAGAGACAGACACGTACGCGAATTCCTTCGTATTCGCCCTCGCCCACGCGCGCCGCGACACTCTCGCGCCTGCTCCCCAGTAGGTTCATTCATTCGCTCGTATCCTTCTTTCATTCAAGGCCTGATACACTTGAATCGTGAAAACCGTACGTCCCGTACCTCGCGTCGCGTCGGAGCTCGGAGCGAGTAGGCGAGTACGACTCATTGTCATTACGAGGCCCGGCCTGTAGATAACCAAGCGCGCGTGCACGTGCGCACGTTATCGCGCTCAGAAATACATACGTGATGTGTGTACGCATCAGCTCGACCATGTCTTACGTCTTACGTTTTACGATTATTGTCTCGAGCCTCAAGGGGAGTTCTCGCCACGTTCTATCGCCTTTCTCTCCTCTCCCGCAGCAATTATTCGCTTATCTGTTCATTTCCTGTCTCGTTGAATAGCCGGAGATCGACGACATGTTAAATTCTCAAAGATTTCTCTCGCGAAATTTCAGTTAAGTCGCGATATCGCGATACAATGTTATTAAAAGATGATAATTCGAAAAGAGACGACTAATTTCTGCAACTCTTTAAAGATCTAGCGTCTTTAGCTTAGCTCTCTATATACAACGAGACGCGTTCTGAAATATTACGAGATGTAAATCGATATCGTTCTTACTCCTACATAAAAGATGCGATAGAGAAAGAGACCAAAGATCGACCTACGTGGGCATGCGTTACAAACGTTACGATCAACAATTTGTACAATATATATATTATCGAGAGAAGACCGACTCTCGATTGCCATTTTACGTGCGTATAACACACGCACCTGCACTCGCATACGCAAAAATAATGCACGTATTATACTTATTGTATATTATTATACCTGATATAAACCTACAGAATGTGCCATACATTATCGCTCATTTCCTAGTTACCGTAACTGCTGCAGTTGTTGCAGCATATGTGTCACAAACTAAACCAATATCTTAATCGGCTTGAGATCGGCATCACATTTCATATTTATTATTCTCTACCTCTCTTTCTTCCTATCTATTGGATTATAAATAATTGAACATTAAGAATATATAACACGCACGAATATCCTATTATGTATATAAAAACCTTGATTAATTAGTCATTTTAATTTGACTCCCCAGAACACTGCTGTTGACATTAAAAATTAAAAATTAAAAAAAAAAAAGACTGTGAAAAGCAATAATCAATTAGACCTTGGTCAACCAAGTAAACTATATGTAAACTACGGTATTTGATCCGATTCGTAGTTTTCTTTTCGCCGAGGGATTGTATACCTACGTGTTTAAGATCGAGGATCTGACGAGGAGATAAAACTTTGTCGTTTTATATGCGTTCACTTGGTACGTGACATGTGTTCGCTACGTGTTCTGCATAAGATTAAAAAGCAGAGATCGTCGCGAGATGTTTTACGAAAACAGCGTATCACGATTAACGCCGCTAATGTATAATTACATATATCAAGTCAAGCTGTCAAGCTACAATAAGAGAAGAAGACGTTATACTTGTAGTACATAATAGATATCTTAGAGATTTCTTTTCTGAATTGAAATAGCGATTTGATTTGTCCGTGACGAATCGAAGAATCTTAATTACGTCGATTACGTTCGTCTGCGGTCCTCTTATATTCATAGCATTATTGCTGACTGCTCACCTTTTGAGGCGCAACTATCTGCGATATTTCTGCTCTTGTTTACAATAACCAATAACTCTTATTGTTGCACTTTAATAATAATAATATTATTATTATTATTATTAAAAAATATTAGCCTACGTATACGAGCAAATTGAGTTACGTGTACATCTTACACACCTACGTGTGCAAAACCTACATATATTACGATCCCTTTGCGTTCAAATTCGGAAGTGGCGTAGGTGCGCTGACTCAGAGTTTCTCCCGTTTGGGTATCCTCAATTTCCAATCACATCCTGCTTGACTTGGTCAGTAATATAATAATATTTATACGTGTGTGTGTATGTGTGTATCATATTCACTCCGCGCTCGCCTCTCTCTCTCCCTCTCTCCCTCCCTAGTTCACAAGCACACATTTTTATCGACTTGTAATTAATTCATTTGCGTAATTAAGAATTATCTAAATATTACTTATCGCAATACTGATTACCGTTATCAAGTAACGCTCACTCTTTTCAAGAGATGACACGGAATAAACGGAAATTCCAACGGTAATTCAAACCATCTTGCTGCTCACTGCTCACTCTGATATACTTGTACCGACCATACATATGTTGGAAGACATTAAAAGACGAATAGTATATATCGTAGACAAGGAACTACATAGGATGTTGCAAATTTCCTACATGTAATGTAGAGGTTTTTCAAACAGATTTTTTTAATAATCACCATTTTTGTAGACTTCCTCGTTGACCAACGTCTCCTCATCGTCAGTGTCGGGTCCAAGGGATATCGGAGTATAGACGACGGAGTCTCTAGATCTCATACTTTCCCACCTCAATTTGACGAGCCTCCTGTTTTACGGTGCATTCGGTAACAATCGAGCTGAAATGCAAAATACAGCTATATGAGTTACACGCAACCAGAAGACCGGATTTTATTTTATGAATTTGCTATTGAGCTCCAAAGCGCAATTTTGTTCCTTTTTCAACTCCAAATACGAGGAATTTTAATCCCTTTCGTTTCGAGAAAAATCTCAAGAGTTTTTGCCGGAAAACGTTGGGAAAACGAAGGAATCCTCGTAAATAGTGCGCTTATGTATCGTTTATGTATCGGAATTTGATGGTGCAACGAGAGAACAAGATGCGTCCGAGTTTAGATCAAATAGCGGTACACGTCGCGGTAAAATTTCAGACTCGCGTGCAGCGTGCGGCGTGACTACAGGATGACTCGGAACGCCAAATATAGCGAGCGTAGGGATTTCCGCGACATTTTCTTCAAAAGCCTTGCGCCTCGTACTCAACCAAGTACCTAACATAAATTCGATCAAACGAGGAATATAATCACGTAATTGCATTTACTTAATACATATAATAAACTTCGTAAAGTTGAGTGTAAATTAAATAAACGTAAGCAGCTATAGATTTAAATTACTCAAAATATATAAATAAAGACCGATGCAAATCAGTCAATATACGACCAATACCGTTATGCGATACGACATCGTATAATTTCTTCACCCGGTTTTCAGCATTTAAAGTCTAGCTCGGGATAATTATTCTACGAAATACCGAACGAATCCATACGATTTCATCACTAATGTACTAAATATTTTCTTTATTTATCTTAGATAGATAAGAGATCAAATACATAGAAATATTTCTGACAGCAGCGATTTGCATGTTTCAAATTCTACAAGTTTGTTCGCGCGCGCGACGTTTTCAAGTTTCATAAAACTTGAACGCTAAATCTAATCCCTTCGCACATGGATTTTACACGCACGTGGCATGTGATGTGTACACGTTACTTGGTTTGCCCTTGTAACGAATCGTCTATCTTATTGTTAGATGAAAGCGTCTAGTCTCGGTTTTATTGTCAGTTTTTGATCTGGAATATCCACCTGCCTTCCTGCCTGCCTGTCTGCGTATCTGCCATTCGTGCCGCTCATCGAATAATATTTAAAATTCGGCAAATTGGTTTAAAAGAGAAAATATGGCGCACATTCACGAAAGAATCTAAATCTAATCGGATCACACCAGTTCAATGTGTGCCACGTAATCCTTGATTTGCTCTAATCTGTCCCAACTTTTCTGTCTTTTCTTTGTCATGGAAAAAGACAGTTAATTACAATTAGCGGTGATCGACGATCAATCAATTTAATCCGTTCGGTCGCGGTCGGTTCGAACTGCGAACGGATTCCAGAAGCGTCTAATCGACAATACATTGGCCGATTTTTTCTTTTTCTCTCTCCTGCCGCTAGAAACTAGAAATGTCCCGCTAAAGTCTAACGTTAAGTCGATCGAGGACTAATATATACATTATACAGTATATATGGGCATCGCGAAAAATTTCGCGTGATGCCGTTCGACGTAAATGTTCTTTTTATTTCCGTAGTCCCATGGCAACCGGTTTCTCGACTGACTGCAGAGTAGTGAGTGCAGCCGGCAGCATACGTCCGTATAACGCGGTCCCTGCTCGGATTCAGGATACGATATGCGGCTTAGTTATTTCGGGAGGCACGAGGCACGAACGCCGCCGCCGTCTCGACGTACCGGTAGACGCCGCGCCGCGCCGCGCCGTGTCATTCTTCTGGGATTTCATCACCGAGGGAAAGATCGTTTCTCTCGAGGAAATGCGTCGCATCGGTACCATCGGTGGACGCACCGATACCGCGACGGGTCCCGGATGTACATACACTCTTGTCTCGCGGGTTGTATGTACGCTGTACGCAACTCGACTTTTGAAATAGATACGTAAAACTCAATACTCGCGAGAAGAGACAAGTTTTCAGGACATTCTTGCTTTTAGAGAGTATATATTATCGCCGTAATGTGTAAATACGCGGAGTAAATCGAGTAAATAGAGAGAGAGAATATAAATAAAATTTGATTATACAATATGATATGATATTTGCGTAGAGGTATTATATAGAAGTCCTTTTTATCTACACACATGCATGCTTATTTCTTCTTGTTATTGTTATTCTATATGTAGCATGGTGACGGCATGCAGAGGTTTCTCTCATCACGAATGGTAGTCGTAACCACGCCTTTATGTTCGCAGGGGGTCCCAGGTCCCGGGTCCCGGATATACTTGGAACAAAGAGGACGAAAAAGACGGGGAGAGGTCTTTTAACGAGGAGCTTTTGCTTGTAGCGCTTTCGAAAATCTACCAGAGAAAGTCGTATTTCCCAAATTACAGTTTACCTTACCATATATGATTGCGCGTAAAAATAAATCGATATTCTGGATATTCACGCACGGCAGGGCAACAGAAAACAGAACGTTATCGGTAAGCGCCATCGGATAATCGAATAATTAATGTTATTTGTCATTTGTGGAATCACAAACGATTCAAGATTAGGATAATTTCAGTGATATATTATTTCTTCAAAACGGAAGAGAAACGGATATAGATTTATTTAATAGAGGTTTATACCCACAAATGTATTTCCAATACTTGTAATATTTAACGAAAACGTGATCTTGAAAATCGACAGAGCGATTTATAATCTTGAAGATACCTCTCAAGTAGGTAAATCCAAAGTCGGACGTCCGCGACAATTACTCGGCGGAAAAACAAAAGATATTTTTCTATTCTTAGGATACAGCCGCCTCTTCTCTCTCTCTCTCTCTCTCTCTTTTTGTGTGTGAGTGTGAGTGTATGCGTGTGTGAGACGACCGCCTTTTTCCTCTACTCCTATTTTGTACGTAGGGATTTCCGGATGTGTCGCCTCGGATCTTCCCGCGAACGGCAAACTTGACGATACGTTTTAATCTCTACTCGTATCATATCGTTAACATTCAATTTATTTCTTTTGAACATATATTTACACAAGATTACAAAAAGATGAAAAAAGACAAATAAAGTGAATCTCTTTTCTGCGTAAAATGATTTAGGATTAAATAATTATAAATTTGCTGATAAAAGTAATATACAGGATCGATTGTAGTCTCAATATGCATTATGTAAATGAACTCATATTGAAGTTGAGTCGCGGGTATAAAGCAAATTAAGTAATTAAGTCGCGGAAGAAAATAATTTGCGTGATCGTCAACAATAAGGGTGAAGAGAGTAACGTGGGATAGTACCGCGATATAGACGGCGGGATACGTTAGCATCCGTTTTATTCTAGATCCTTTTATTCTAGTCGAAAAACTTTCGCGTGATGCATCCATTGAACCGAGTATCAATACGACGCGCAATGACGCAATGACGCAATGACGAAGATTATAAAAGCTTATGTTAGAGCAGTTAGAGTGTCGCGTTCTCGAGTTATCGCGCACGTACACGATTACGTGTACAAGTCCGTAGAAAGAAACGTACATTCAAGAAACGACAGAGGTGTATATTCCTTCTTTTAAAAAGGATTTTTAATGATAAAAATATTAAATATACATAAATCGAGCACAGAGAAAGGTAAACGACCTCCGACAAACGCGTCCGAGAAGCTTACCGATATCTCGACGGTCTCGACTGACTTAGGTATCCGTGTACCCTATTATGGTAGGCCCAGGTAGGACTGGTAGGGCTGTGACACACGGACGATTGGGACGTATTAACGCCTCATTGTCAGTCGCGCGTAATACCACACCATAATCCTTAATTGATAACTGATATACCTTTTCCCGCAACTCGTGCGAAAAATCGCGTCATAGATATTATTTTTAATCCAAAGTTAACTTGTACGTCTCCGATTGTGAGTGGAACTAGTGGAAGGTAGGTTACCGTAGGTATCTCTCGTTAAAAAATGTTTCGCTCATTTCGTATAGGAGTACTAATAGCTAGGACCTTTTATAGCATCTATAGAGGATTAACTCTCGCCCCTTCCTGCTCTCTCCTTCCCTCCTTGTCTGTCTTGTTTACAAAGCTGCGCTAATCTAATGCAAGACAAGGCACGCGCGTGCACGATGATAAACACGTGTTTAAAATAGGCGGGCAGCCGCGTGAAAAGTTAACGCGGTCGCATATCAAAAAATTATTCGATCGAGTATTTAACCTTTCTTTTGAATTTGCTCCTTCTTGCACCGTGTGCGACCGGTTATGTGTCGACGAGCGGTGTATTTATTTAATTTCTTTTCCGCAAAGAATAATGAGAGATATTGACCCGTGGTTTCTTAAATCAAAGCACGTGGTAAAAGCTATATATTCAGCAACCCTGATGACACGAATGGAGCGGCGCGAAGAAAACTCGAGCGAACGACAAGCGACAAGCATAAAGAGTCCGCGCGCGCAAGAGTACGAGCTACGAGCACGGAAACTGAAAACGCAGAGCTAGGTGAGCGCACACACCACACACGCACATACGCACATACGCACACATTGCACGAGAAGGTATATAGCTACATGCTACACCCCCCGCGCCGTGACCCTCCCGGACCCGGATGACTGTTGAACGTTGAACGTTGAACGTTGAACGCTGACAAAAATAGCGGCGCGATGGCATTACGCATCTATAGATACAACGAGCGTCGGCGTCAACCGGACGAGAGGAAGAGCCGACACCCGACATCCGACATTCCCTTCCCGAGACATCCCTCGACACGAGGCGAGGAATCATCCCGCTCTACCACTTCCGGCCATCCGGCCTGGATCCAACCGATCCAAGCATTCACGCTACTATACCTTATACAGTCTACGTGCCTACGATATTTATGTTCTACTGATCTATTCTTCAACACGTTAAATTAAAATTCATATAAGCTCTTGCGAAATGCTCTAGCGATATATATATGCATTATCTATTGACGTGATAGCTACAGTATGTATATTTATATTACGTACACTGCCCGTCAATGATTCCTTTTCAGGCTAACGGGCGCGCCGCGTTAGCAACTGGAAGCCTGGAAAGGACTCATTGACGGGGAGTGTACATAATATGTATCATGTATCATGTATCATGTGAGCCAGTCGCGAGATTCGTTCTTCAGTTCTTCTACTCAACGTTCTTTTCAACAATCAACAGACGTTTCTCACTCACTCATACGCAAAGATAACAACATTAACAATAACAACATAAAGATATCCAGTATGCGCGTGTGCGCGTGGTCTAGGTGTCTATAATCTATAATATACTCTACGCGAGATAAATTCGATGTTGTATGTGGCATCGATCGCGTGGAGGAACGTGTGAAAAAATTATTAGTATACATAATACGTGTCGCGCTAATAATCATCGACTCGATCATCGACAGATTCACATCAGGCAAGACTATGACTGTCCAATCTTATCACGAGTCACAGGTTATTATTTTATTATGTATGTATGTACATACGTTACGTATTATATACGCTTATACGCTTACGTACGAAGTTGTAGGTGTCGTTTTTTACGTTAAGACATATATAATTATATATCTGCTTCTTTGACGAAGCAGATTTCCTTGAGGACGGTATTCTACTTGAATATTTGAATCTTGAATCTCGAATTTCATATTCGAGTCACGCCCTAGAGCCTAGAGCTAGAGTTAGAGTAAATAATCGCGAGTTGGAGGGGGTGAGGACTGTGTGTGTGTGTGTGTGTGTGAGAAGGGGTCGGTCATTCGAAATTTAACGTTTCAACGTCAGCATATGTCTTTTCTCATTTACACAAGTTTTGATTACTAATCCACGATCGATCACCATTCACCACCAAGGAATCGTAGCGAGCGAGAATTAACTCACCGCGGTATGTCCCAGCCTCGAAATAGCAGCGGCGCGGCGTCTGGCGGCGTCGCCGGTCGCCGGTCGCCGGTCGCGTCGCGTTGGACGTTGGACGGCCGTCGACTCCTCGCGATCCTCGTCGATTTCTTCGTAGTAGCAGTGGATAGCGATAGCTCAGGATAGATCGTGGTAGAACGTAGAGAGACAAGAACGCCGTGGAACGAAGGGGACAAAATGATCTTGGTGATCGGACGCGCAAAACTCGAAAAGCGAACTTTAGGCTGCTCGCGAATACGCTTAGTGATACCGGATCACGGCCTTAACCTTAGCCTTAGATATAAATATAAATAAATAACTAGAGAAAAATAAATAAATAAATAGATCGTCTAGAATCTAGATAGATACGCGCAGAGTATCCGCGAGTAGCTTGCGCGACCCCCCCTGTGCGTTTCCTTCGACCTCCGAACGAATCGGCGCGCTCCGACCGACTGCTGCATGCTGCATCACTCCACTGCACCACTGCACCCCGCGCCCGCGCTGCGCCCTGCGCCGACTCTCGATTTACCCCCGAGCCCCGAGCCCCTAGAGATGCGAGAAAAAAAAGCTCGCGTAAGAAAGCGAGAAAGCGCGCGAGTTTTCCTTTTTTGTATTTTTTCGTACTTTTACAACCCCGATCCCGATGTCCACACACACACACACACACATACACACACACACACACACACACACACACACACACACACACACACACA